GGTACACATCTGTGAGGGGCAAGCAGGGGAGTGTATGCTTAGGGGCAACCAACATGGGTTCACTAGAGGCAGGTCCTGTCAGACCAACCTGGTGGCCTTCTATGGCCAGGTCACAAAATCCTTGGACGCAGGTGTCGTGGTGGATGTAGTCTTTCTGGACTTTAGGAAGGCCTTCGACACTCTCTCACCCCATTCTCATTAAAAAATTAGGAGACTGTGGTTTCAATGCCTACACAGTCAGATGGGTCGCCAATTGACTGGAGGGCTGCACCCAGAGAGTGGTGGTGGATGGGTCATTTTCGACCTGGAGGGATGTAGACAGTGGGGTCCCCCAGGGCTCGGTCCTCAGGCCCGCACTGTTCAACATGTTCATCAGTGACTTGGACAAGGGGGTGAAAAGCACCTTGTTCAAATTAGCAGATGACATTAAGATGTGGGGAGAAATGGGCATGCTAGAAGGGAGGGACAGGCTGCAATTGGATCTGGACAGGTTACAGGGGTGGGCGGATGAGAATAAGATGGGATTCAATACTGATAAATGCAGAGTACCACACCTAGGGAGAAAGAACTAGCAGCACACCTACAGGCTGGGGAACTCTCCTCTCATCAGCACAGAGGTAGAAAAGGATCTTGGAGTCATTATAGACTCCAAGATGAACATGGGCCACCAATGTGGGGACGCAGTCAGGAAGGCCAACTGCACCTTGTCATGCATCCACAGATGCATCTCAAGCAGGTACAAGGAGGTGATCCTCCCCCTCTATGTGACACTGGTCAGGCCACAGTTGGAGTACTGCATCCAGTTCTGGGCACCACACTTTAAGAGAGATCAAGATGGTCCAGAGGATGGCCACTCGCATGATCAGGGGGCAGCAGGGGAGGCCGTACGAGAAGAGGCTACGAGACCAGAACCTGTTCGGCCTCCACAAGAGAAGGCTGAGAGGGGATCTGGTGGCCATCTATAAACTGGCCAAGGGAGACCAGCAGGCAATGGGAGAGTCCCTGTTCCCTCAAGCACTGACAGACTTATTGGCCATAAGTCTGTCAACTTATGGCCAATAATGGCCATAAGTTGACAGACAGTAGATTCAGGCTAGATATCAGGAGGCACTACTTTACAGTCAGGGTGGCTGGGATCTGGATCCAACTTCCAAGGGAAGTGGTGCTTGATCCTACCCTGGGGGCCTTCAACACGAGGCTAGATAGGCACCTTGCCAGGGTCATTTCACCCCAGTATTTTTTCCTGCCCATGGCAGGGGGTCAGACTTGATGATCTACTCAGGTCCCTTCTGACCCTACAACTATGAAACATTATTTTTTGTGACTGCAGGGAACAGGACAAGGAACAATAGTTTTAAACTGCAGCTAGGGAAATTTAGGTTGGATATTAGGAAGCACCTTTTCACTCAGCGGCTACTTAAGCACTGGAACAGGAAATCCAGACAGGTTGTGGAATCTTACTCCTTTGAAAATTTTAAGAGCAGGCTAGGCAAACACTTGACTGGAATGGTTTAATCAGGGATGATCCTGCCTTGAGTTAGGGCTGGAGCTAGATGACCTTATGCCATCCCTTCCAGCCCTACGTTTGTATGATCCTGTGACAGATAGTCAGCCCATGAGGAACCCTG